ACACACACACACCAAATAGACAAAAATAAATAAAAGTTTAACGGGTGAAGCAAGACAAAACCAAGGTTTTATCCATCCCTGTGAACAACAGAATGTCCCCCTCTCCGGCAAAAAAAAAAGATAAACAAAAGATTAGAACGTATACCTTCTCCAAACCTAGGTTGTTGGAAAGATCGGGCGAAATTAGAATTCAAAACAGAATACCCTCTCACTGCTTTAATTTTTATCTTATATCTTTTTTCTTTCAGGTTGAGTTAGCTCTTTGGGATACAGCTGGACAGGAAGATTACGACCGCCTTCGACCACTCTCGTATCCAGACACAGACGTCATTCTGATGTGTTTCTCTATCGACAGTCCAGACAGTTTAGAAAACNTATACTCCAAAGGTTGTTGGAAAGATCGGGCGAAATTAGAATTCAAAACAGAATACCCTCTCACTGCTTTAATTTTTATCTTATTTCTTTACAACAGGGGGAGGAAGGAGTGGGGAGAGCGCTCAAACAAAAGGTGCCCCTCTCAGGATCTGATCCCTTTTCAGTAGATAAAATAAGCCTACACGTTTAAATACCTATGTACTGATTAAGTGCAATATGACGTCTAAACAACAGGCCAATCAGATAACATAAAGTCACGTTAAACAGAGGCCCGTTGAACTGTTCTATTTTTAGGTACACGTGCTTTATCTATTTTTAGCACTCCGCCTCATGGTGTATATATTCTTTCTCGCGCCAGGTTATATATAATTTAATATCATGTAAGCACACATTTTAACTACCTGGTTCCTAATTATTCTGATTACATTTTGAGCTACATGCAGCTCTTAAAAGGGACGATTTATAAACAGTTGTTCTTCAAATACATCGATAACGCTCAAAATCTTGAAAAGAGATTAGCTCAGTTTCTTGCCGAAGGATTAATTCGTCGAAATAAGGTAGGAAATACTCTTTACATTCTTCAGATTTTTAAAATCTCCGTTTGAAGTGTTATTGTGTACATAAGTAAATAATAAACAATGAGCCTCGTATGAAGCTAGTGATTGGTATCCCAGCATGCATCAGTGACGTCAATGCCACAGACCCCTCTAGCAAGAATTGAGGTGTGGCTACCATTGTGCTGTATTTGAATTGGATATTCTTCCTGCATCATCATAGGTATAATTTAGGGGTAAGTAACGGCGAGAAGGATATGTTTGATACATGTTTCAAAGTGAATAACATTCTGAGAGTGTCTGTTCAAAGCGGGAGTTGATCTGATATATGCAAATGGCTGTCTGACCGTTGGGAGTTCAATGGTTGCCGGCTCGGCGAGTTTCAGTTATTTGGAGATATAAAATCCCTGAAGTATTACTTTGCTCCAAGATTCTGAATTTTGCTACCCGGCGTGACATTAATGCGTCAGCGCTATGGTCTTAAAGTTGGCAAAATCAACATTTATTCAAGCTGCCCTGTTGAAATTCCATTGCGGTAGCCATTTTGAAATGACATCATCAGCTGACTGACTTCTCTTGGGGAGGGGTTCACTTCAGGATCAGAATTGGGAGGGAAACGCTGATTTCGACGTCAGTTCTCTCTATAATTACCAGATTCTATGGTTGTATTGTCTGCGGTGTATAAGTCACGCTGCCAAAAGGTAATTACTGGGCAAAGTCGGATTGTTAATTTAGGAAGTGTATTGTTTGCGTTTTGGGTCATGTCACCACACCCGATAGTAGGCCAGTGAGTCATTATATTTTATTATAAACTTAAAATTGAAGGGAACATTCCAGAGGTAAGTTCATACTGAACTCGGATCAGTAATTTTTGATATTACTACTAAAGCATTGGTAATCGCTTGGTCTTGACAGAAGTTTGAAGGTAAGGTTGGTTTTATAAGAGAAAGTGTTCCTTATTCCTCTTGAGACGTTTGATAGTGAATCATAGTGATGATGATGTTGATATGCGCAAATGTAGTCTTTTTTCTTGTGATTTTAGTTCATATTGAAAACCATTGACAATGCAAATTGAGTCTGAAGGACATGTATAATTACACAAATGGTTGTATAGAACACCAATGTGGAAATGCCCAAAAACTGAAAAATTCTCATGATAATTTCTGTTTTTCTTCTTTTACAGATATAAACGCAATGGCTGCGATAAGAAAGAAGTTAGTAATCGTAGGTGATGGTGCTTGTGGTAAAACATGCCTGCTAATCGTCTTCAGTAAGGATCAGTTCCCTGAAGTCTACGTGCCTACCGTGTTTGAAAACTATGTAGCCGATATAGAAGTAGATGGAAAACAGGTAAGTGTACATAGTCATAGATGCAGACCTGGGGGGGGGGGGGGTGCGGGCGGGCAGGCAGTGGCATGGTGACACTAGTTGAGTGGGATTTGTTCAGTCTGACTGGTTGATAAACCAGGAAGAAGGGGAAGGTTTGGGAGGGGGTTACTATACTGATAAAGGACACCTTATCATAACATTATCATTGTGTTAGTCACAGTTCAAGTCATTTTGGGGCTTTGTTATTATTCAAGGGTTATTAATGTGCAAAACAAAGTATGTACTTCAGGTACTGTTTTTTTTTTTCTTTTTTTAAAACTATATTTGGCTGTGAAGATCAAACACACTTGCCAAATGTTAATTTACTCTAGGGTCAAAGTATGTGTCCATGTGATATATATCAGTAAATAGTGATATAAGAGTGAAATGTTAGTCCTTCTTCTTTAAAGAGGTCAAGCCCTTCTGCAGTGGTTTCTAAATGCTGCATACAAGACTTATCAGTTTCTTAACACATCTTCTTTGATGTCCTCAATGGCTGAGCAGGTGGCGTGACTTACGTTTATTTTACTCGAAACTTGTACGCCCTATTTCATAAGTGATACATGACAGCGAAAGAGCTTTGTAAAGTTCATGTAGACGGGTGTTGGAGAGAGAGCTGCGAGTGCACCGCGAAAGCCGAGTCCGAGTCTTAAGCTATAACGGTGAGTTGAATGTCACAGTGTTTTGCATGTTTTTTAGGTAGTGGAAGAGCCTTGTGTGTTTTCTGGGATTGGTTGGGAAGTTGGTCAACTGTGTGAGTGTGTGTGTGGTCTAGTGAGCCCATTGATGCTTGTCGCTTTAGCTGTTTTATTATCATCATTTTTTTAAAATTCGTACGCTGCCTATTGCATCATTCCACCTTGATAAGAATTTCACCCTCATATGAAAACATCCTATACGGCTTACGCAGAGATAAATGGTCTTGTAAAGCCAATATGTAGAGCAGCAATAGCAAGTTCAAAATGTGGACTGCATAGTGGTTTTACAACAGAGTCATGGAAATTGGTAGTCCTGCTTGCATGGGTGTGATTTATGAGCTATGCTTAAATTTTTATGGAATTTCATCCCAGATTTTGTGCAGGAAACCCATACAATCAATCAATCAGTTTGATTTCACCATTTGCATGAGGACTTCTGCTGTTATTGTTCAGTTATCCTGTGCTATTTTGCCTGACTTTCAGTATTTGTTGCTTGGTATTAGTCTCATTGCATGTTGCCCACTTGCATGTTATATGTGGAAGTTTCAGAGAAAAAAAAAAAGTTTTGTGTTTAAAGTGATTGTAAACACAAATCAGATGCCTGTCTGTTTCTGTTCTCAAGTGAAATGTTTCAATATGATTATTTAATCTGCATGCTTTGTTCTTAGAAGATGTATTGTTGATTTACTGTTGAATTTGACGTTATGTAGTGGAATTAGATTTAGATGCTTCAGAACAGAATTTGCAGTCAGTTTACAACCACAATTTTTAACTACACTCAAGTTGCCTGCATAGTAGGTAGTAATTAGCACACTATTTATGAAGATCAAAAAGAAATGGAAAAAAAATAGATGTTGCAGTTAAATGTCTGGGGTAGTGCTAACACTCGTCAATTTAGCCAAATGCTAAAACTGACTCTAATTGGCTAAACAAAAAAGGTTGATTTGACTTGTTTAAGTCAAATTTAAACCATTTGGAGAAATAAGTGTTGAAAAAGTAGTAATTTGGCTAAACGAAAATAATTGCTAGCACCACCCCAGAATGTACTACACAAGCTTGATCACGATGGCATGTTCGTATTGTCGTACTGTCCCCTTGATTAGTGTACAAATGATCATGAAGTTCTGCAGAACTTGGCTAGGATGGCCTGGTTTGAAGGAACAATGGCTCTGGTAGCTACATGAAATATAATATAGATCTGCATTAAATCATTCAGAAAATTACTCTGAAATAGATATTTACATTGTGTAGAACGCTTTCACCTCACAAAGATAGTCAAAGGATTTCTTTTTTCTTTCAGGTTGAGTTAGCTCTTTGGGATACAGCTGGACAGGAAGATTACGACCGCCTTCGACCACTCTCGTATCCAGACACAGACGTCATTCTGATGTGTTTCTCTATCGACAGTCCAGACAGTTTAGAAAATATCCCTGAGAAGTGGACGCCGGAGGTGAAGCACTTCTGTCCCAACGTCCCAATCATCCTAGTAGGCAACAAGAAAGATCTGCGGAATGATGCTACAACTCAGCGTGAGCTACAGAAACTAAAACAAGAGCCTGTGCGGACAGAGGAGGGTCGAGCAATGGCGGAAAAGATTGGTGCTTTTGCATACCTAGAATGCTCGGCAAAGACAAAAGATTGCGTTCGTGACGTTTTTGAGACAGCCACACGTGCTGCTTTACAAGTATCAAAAAAGAAGAAGCGCAGGATCTGTAAATTCCTGTAATGTTGAAATGTGAGGGGGGAAAAAGCATTGCTAAACTAGAGATAGAAAAATAAATGATTTGTTTTCCTGTGGATGGTATCTGTGTGGAGATGAAAGTCTGTGAAATTATTTTTGTAAATCTTTTATCACTTTTTTTCCTTCAGTACTTCAGTTGTGTGTTTAAACTTTAATTCTGAGGACCTGAAACTTAGCTGGAATATGTCACGCTGTGCCCAGGCTCAGGTTTTGGCCCACTATGTCCTTGTGTTTTGTATATACTTTGGTTTGTGTTTATTTTGAGAAGAATATGCTGTTTGAACATAGGTGCTGAAAGAATAGATGAACAAACAATTATATGTACATTAGTGTAGTTTTATAATTTTTAATTCACCATAGTCCCAAGTTAAAAGTGGATGGCATGGTCTTCACTTATGAAAAAATAATGATAGAGAAAACTGACTCCACAGGACTGTGGGTATGTATGTGATCCCTTGCACAGAATGCGGTGTTTATTAAAGTTGGCAGTGTACAGTACTACTACTTGGTAACCAGTAGAATGAACAGCTTATAGGGTCAAATTATCCTAATTTCACGAAGGTCGTAGAGTTCAGCTTGGCTTTGTCATCTAGTTGGTATGCTGTTTTACTTGCACCTTTGATGAACATTTTATGTGAAAACCTGGTACATTGTGTAGAGCAATGGCAAACCATGAAGTTTGATAGTTGCCCAAATGTAACCAAGTATTTGAGTGTCTGCCTATCGCATTACTACAGGAAGATGTGGCTGTTAAGGGGCATTGAACTGTAAGTCCTCCGCGATCATTCTTCGGGCATATTTGGGAATCAGCATGATCTGGCCACTGCAGAGCAGTTGCAGATAGTGAAAACTGAAGCTTTCTTTGAATGTATGAAAGTGTATAAAATAAAGAATATGTTAGTGCCACTCACTGTTATATACTAAATGATCTGTGTTTAGTCTTGAACTGAATTTATATGTGTGTGTAGTAGTATATAGACAATAAATGAAGTTGTAAACATTCTAGTTCTGCTTTTGACAAATTTCGTTTCCACTGGAAATTCTTTTACTCTTGAAAACATCCCATGGTGCTGTTTGTGGTTTTGATCTGGGGGATTAAAAACTTGCTGAAAGATGTAACATCTTAACTTCCCTTATGTGTAAGGGGAAACAAATCCCCAAGTCTGGAAAATCTTCAGGTTATTTTTTTCAGCAATGAAAATGCCCCCCCCCCATCCCCAAACATGGCTAACCCTCTATATATCTGATATTGAAGTGGAGCCGCTCTGCATTTTTTCACTTCTCTCATATTTTCTCAAAGCAGGCTTGAGGCTGATTTTTATGCTCAAGTGTGTGTATATTTCAAGTGACTTGGACGGGTGTAAAACCTGATCGTATGTCACATCTGGCAATAACTTAATGAAAACTGCTGCTTGAAATGGTGGAAGAGGCTCCCAGACCTGCTGTGTAAACTGACTCAGGGTGGTGGTGGGACACTGTCTACTGGTGAGTGGAGCTCTAACTCTAAGCATGCATAGACCTTGTACCTACGTGTCTAGTTTGTCCCCTGACCTTGCCAATCCCCCCCCCCCCCATTATTTACCATCACAATAGGCTCACTTGGTGAACTCTGCAAAAAAGGAGCATGCTTAATATTTCTTTAATTATTTCTTATTTCTTTGCATGAGAGTGGTTATGGGCTCTTCATCACCCTCCTTGTTTATCTGGAACCAAAGTTGATGGAGGTGGAGGTGAAATATTGCACAAGATTTCCTCTTTTGAACCAGTTAAATTAATATGACCTGGATAATGAACTTTTCATAAAATGAGCTCTCTTCAGGGATAAGATTTTTCTTACTATTGGCAGATTTCTGGGAACCAAAGATGTCAGTTTTGACATCCATGCCGATCTGCAATACAAACTTGGGGGGGGGGGGGGGGTATTTGGTAGGTCTGGACCCCACCCCACCTTTACTGACTTTTTATGAAATGGCAGTTTCAACCCTGAATAGTTAAGAGTCCTGTGGGAGGGGGGGGGGGGGTCTGGCATAGTGGATCCATTTTTTTTTCAGGGACAAACCTGCATTTAAGTTCCATGTATGATGATTTCCACTTCCTTGTTAATTTTTTCTGTGGTCAGAAGTTCAGCCATGTGGAAAGCAAATTATATATCAATAAAGTGGGGAACTTCAAGACAAAATTACCAATGTTATGAATATAAAGAAATTGGAAGGAGGTTGTGACCATGAAATTGCCACAGGAAATTTTTCATCATTGGTTTTTTATTTTTCATTCGTATATTTATTTGTAGTGTGGATAATTGCAAGTTTGGAGTTAGTCCCCACGTGTGATGGGTGTTGTCTCCCTTCCACATACATATGCTGTTAACCCCTTACCTTCAGGATACTGTAAGGGCCCATTTACAGGTCAACTGTGCCTGTGTGACTTAGTACTTCCTTGGGTTATGTGAATACAACATCTAACCTCTCCCCTTCCCTCCTTGGTGTTGTAGTAAGCAGCTCTTACTGCTGGAGAGAAGGTGTTGATGGATTAGATTGACTAATAGATGTTTTGTTTAGATATTGTTATCACATGGAAGCTGAACTGACACATTAAAAAGACCCAATCTGCCTTGATGCCACTTTCACTCTGCTTGTGACACAATTACTCCGGTTTGTTTCACTCTGACCAGTTTTGCACTCCATTGTCCTCTATTTAAACTGCCATGTTACCATGTTTCTTTTTTTTTTCCTTTTCACGTTTTGGAATCCTTTGCTGCATGGTTTTGTTTTATGCCAGCTATCCCAACCTGAATGTGACCTCTGATGTATTTGGCATGGTATTAATGGACAAGCACTTTTATAGCAAGTAGCATGTGCACTCAACATTTTACTTCTCTTTCAGGTTGAGTTAGCTCTTTGGGATACAGCTGGGCAGGAGGATTATGACCGCCTTCGACCACTCTCATATCCAGACACAGACGTCATTCTGATGTGTTTCTCCATCGACAGTCCAGACAGTTTAGAAAACATCCCTGAGAAGTGGACGCCGGAGGTGAAGCACTTCTGTCCCAACGTCCCAATCATCCTAGTAGGCAACAAGAAGGATCTACGAAATGATGCCAACACGATAAAAGAATTGGGCAAAATGAAGCAGGAGCCAGTGAGGCCAGAGGAGGGGCGAGCAATGGCGGAAAAGATTAGTGCTTACGCATACCTGGAGTGCTCTGCAAAGACTAAAGAGGGAGTGAGAGAGGTATTTGAAACAGCCACACGTGCTGCTCTTCAAACGAAAAAGAAGAAGAAAAAGGGATGCCTCATCTTGTGAAGCAATTGTTGAAGCACAAATACTGTTAGCCTTTCTGACTTTGATACACAAACACTAAACATACGGCGTATTGTATTGTGGACATATTGTAATTCGTTTGTGGGAGACGCCTTTGTGTTGAATGATGGAGGAAAATGGAGACATGGGAGATGCATTATAGTGTATAGTACTGACATAGGGAACTCTTTTTATGTCATGCCACACGTTAAAATACAGATAACATCTTTTTGGGTAAAAATAGTTGACTGATTTTAACGAGACCATGTGTGTTTTTATTACACGCGAGGCACAATACCTCAACCTTTTATCCAAGTCAATTTGATCTCCATAACTTGGATGTAATAGGTCATGTGATTAAGGCCTTCTGACAAGGCCCAAAACCCCTTGCTTCACTGGAAAAAAACGCATTAGTCCATTAAAAAAAGAAAACTATTTTTTACCAGCATTACACAAAAGCCAATGAAAAAAATGTTTCACTTACCATATTTTTTGTGAGGCTAGTTGTTTAAAACAAATGTTATTAATATGTATATATACAAATATGCATTCAGCTGTGAAATCAGGTGTCCTCTGATGAATGCATGGCTGACGCTTAATTGGGTGGGGGGAGGGGGGGGGACGTATCTGCAGAAATATGTAGAAAAATCTGTTTTCTGTCATTTGAAGCCAACTTTTGTTTGCAGAATCAAGTTAAATTTCTTAATTTCCTAGATTGATTTATGCATCTCATAATGTTACGCTAATATCGATAACCAGAATGTATGTGGTTAAGAGAAAGCCGTGTGAGATGAATGTGTGTTGTTTCCATTGAAAACCTTAATTTGTTGCTTCTCTCCAGGAGCTTAAAGAAGAAATTAAAATATACAAAGACAAAATTGTTTTCCAGTTGGCATTCACTAGGTTTAGATTTGAGATTTGGTATATTTTGATATGTAAATTGACTGTAACAAACAACAGCAATATACATTTGTCACGGGCATAGATGTGACTAACAGGCAAGGATATAAGAGCATTGACAGAAGGTCAGATTTCTTTTAAAATTGTTCCAAGTGTCATATTAGCAGTAGAAAACGCCACAGTTCAGCTGCAGTCGTAGGTCAAGTTGTGTTAGGTCCAGCAATGGGAGAATTGATGGTGAAAACGGAAGGGAAATTATTTGGGCTAGAGAGGGAAGTTACATTGCCTTTGGTTTTTTAGTACCACTACTATTTCTGTTACACAGCAGGTTAGTTTTTCTTAAACTTGAATCCTTATCCCACAGTTCTTCATTTTAACATCACTGATCACTATATCACTAAAAAGATGCTGAGCTCCTCAACTGGCTGTGTGTCAGAATCCCTATGTAGAGAATTGAGTTTATCTGTGAATTTTATAATTGATCACCCTTGGAGGTGATCCATTACTTATATAAATGTATGTTCAAAAGGATTGGTACTGTCTTGGCATGTGAAGTTGTAATGAGTAGGTGTGCACGCTTCCCATGGAATTCCAGTACGCTCTTGTGTGCTAATTATTGTAACTAATTCAGAAAAAGCTCAACTAAATCTACCTAAAGTTTGTATGTAGTGATATGTATCTGTTAAATAGCAATTTTTTAAGAAGTAGCAAATGATTGTATTTCAATATTAAGTGTATGAAAAATAACTAATCCTTTTTAAAAGCACATTTTGTTTTCTTGTTATTTCCTTCCCCTTTTCTGTGCTCACTGCAAAGAATTAATGATCTTTTAAATTATATATTTAAGTTAAAGCAAGTGATATTTAAACAATCTTGTATTGTATGAACAGCCCACTTTTAATTCCACTGATGCAGATATATGCCAACCTTAGAAAATGTATGTTAACCTGATATTGAAGTGCAAATGCATTTGGGGTCCCTCTTGGGGCAAACCAAAAACGGTATGCTTAACCTTTTTTTGTTGTTGTTGCAGAGTTACTTCTTTGTTGAGGTATTGAATAAAAAAATCTTCACAAAGATCAACACAATCTTGGGGGAAAATATTTTGTAATCTGGATATTTGTTCAGTTGGGATTGGGAAAAATATTTCCCCAAAGTTAAGTACACAAGCTTTAGAGGGGTGGGGGAATTTTGTAATCTTTATATTCATTCTGGAGAGGAGTGTGTGTGTGTTGGGGGGGGGGGGGGGGGCATGCATGTCCAGGAAACTACCTAGAGAATTGGTGCATAAACCCAGTGAAAGAATACCAACCAACTGGAGAATCCCTCTCTTCCTTTTCAAGATTGGAATAAATTTAATAGTTGTTTGATGTCTCTACCACTGAAATGGGCTGTAATTATCTCTTGGCAAATTAAAAAAAAAATCATCTTTCACTTCATGTTGACTGAAGTAAAAAGAAAGATAAGAAAATTTATATAAACTTCTTTAGTTCATGCAAGCTTAAAGCTATTTTCTGTTTATTAACATTATTATTAATTTTTAGGAGGGGGGTCTGGAATGAATTTATTGGAAATGCATGCTAGAATTAACAATTTGACATTCAATATATCTTTTCTTTCAGGTTGAGTTAGCTCTTTGGGATACAGCTGGACAGGAAGATTATGACCGCCTTCGACCACTCTCTTATCCAGACACAGACGTCATTCTGATGTGTTTCTCCATCGACAGTCCAGACAGTTTAGAAAACATCCCTGAGAAGTGGACGCCGGAGGTGAAGCACTTCTGTCCCAATGTCCCAATCATCCTAGTAGGCAACAAGAAAGATCTACGAAATGATGAAAGTACCAAACGAGAGCTCATGAAGATGAAACAGGAACCAGTACGGCCTGAAGATGGTCGAGCAATGGCGGAGAAAATTGGTGCTTTTTCTTATCTAGAATGTTCTGCAAAGACTAAAGAGGGAGTGAGGGAAGTATTTGAAACAGCCACAAGGGCTGCGTTGCAGGTGAAGAAGAAGAAAAAGGGAGGGTGCCTACTTTTGTAGTCCTGGTCGCATAACACCAAACATAGAAATGGGTTGGGTATTTCCATCCCTAGAAAAACTAACAACATCTTCATTATCATTTTCTGGGAACATGAGCTGAAGTTGGAGACAGTTTTGAGACAATTTTTTTTCATGAACTCAACCTGCATCTAAAACTGCAAGCTGTGAAAATTGTCGTGTAGCATTTTCATTGGTCTACGGACAAGTTTCATAGCTTGTGAACTTGATTGCTGGTCATGTCGTTGGTTTGATGAACTGTATGTGTTTACAGACTTTGTGTGTGGAAGTTTGTCACCATAACCAGAGAGCAACCAGCAGGGGGAGCCAGGTGACCAGTAGTGCACCAGAAGATGGTGCTACACCAAGAAGTGCCATCTAAAAAAGCACGATTTATACATTTCCTAATTGATAAGGGTTTCCCATCAAATAACTCTTTCACTTGGTTACCGAAGTTTTTATGAAAGTAATTATAAATCCCCCTTTCTAGTAACCTCTTGGATATGGTGCATAAACACACAGAAAGAAAGCTAGGTTGAGTTGATATGTATACTTTTATGTGCAGCTCCCAGGAAAATGTATATTAATATGTGCAGTCAGGTGCAATGGCTGTCATCATTGTATTTTCAGTGTATAGAAATCAGTTGTATAGCTTGCTGGATATCTCTGCTTGATGCATGTGTTGCAGGTGGCTTGTCTTGAGTTTTCAAAATTAAGAGGAAAGAAAATGACTGTTGAAATGTTATTTTCAGCCAGTTGTAACATTTAGTGCTATTTTACAATCAGTGCAAAAAAGGGAAATGTTTAGGTTTTGGTTTACTGAATAAAATGTGAAAAATTGACTTCTATTGCAATTTGGCATTCTAGAGTTATCTCTGTAGCTTCAATGTTGCCTGAGAAAAGGAACTTTTTAAATTGAACAAAAGTAATCAAGTATTCAAAGGTAATTTTGATAACAATTAAAACTTTCACACTTCCAGAAAATTGTTTACTTATATTTATTTCCATATGCCAAACGTAGGGTTTAGTTGTAAAAAATAATTGAAAATTAATGGTCAAATTACTTCGGGGTAATTACTATGTATTATAGCAACGATAGAAGTAGAATTAGCTTAGATGAAAACTCTGAAGTGCAGGAAGAGACAAATACAGCTATTTTCTCTGTAGTCTACAACTCTTCAGCTCCATTCACTCTAAACTTACTGTTTCTAATAGATTTAGTATTTTTTTCTGGCATGGCGCACAGCTGGATGTGAGCTCTGCTTCACAAGAAGGACACGGCTTCAAACCATTATCAATATCAGCCACTGTGGCAGAAATGTGGCTCATAACACACTGCGTTGTATACTTAGTGAGATGGTCTGAAGCTGCACTATTTTCGGGAAGTTTTGATAACTAACTATGCCACACAGGGTTTGGGGTAGCATTAGCAATATTTTTCTGCTCAGCCAAGTCGCTGCTTTTTCCATCTTATTTTTCTCAAAACGGTCTAATTTTGACTGAAACAAGTCAAATCAACCCTATTTTGTTGAGCCATTTTAAGTCAGTTTTAGCATTTGGTTAAATTGGTGTGTTGGCACTACCCCAGGGGGTTTAACTCTCCTTTGCAAGTTATCAACAAATTTTCTTCCTTATGTTTTTGAAATCAATTAATTGGCTGTCTGTTATGTGATAGCAAAGCTAGTGAGTTGTCAATCTCTCAAAGTGAGATAGTTTAGACCGTCTCAGTTAAGTTTACTGCTAGGTGTGCTAAGTTGACTTTAGAAATTTATTTCATTGGAAAATTTGGCAAAACTACATTTTCATGGAGATTGTTTTTGGTCTGATTGAAAGGTGTATATGTGAAATTCAACTGAAAGAATATAAACAGGTTGAATGTGCTCTCTGTGTATGCTATTATAATAGTAAAAGAAAACATTTTCTATCTACAGAGAAAAGATGGCTTTGTATTCCACATTTTTAGTAACTGTAGTTTTACTATCAAGTTGCAATAACTGTATTTGCTGAGTATGTATAGTGAACTGATTTTTCTTGACTGTCCAATCTATTAAAGGAATAAATTAATAGTAACTACATATGTCGTTGTGTTAGTACTTCTGCAGAGAAAGTTCCATTTTGCGTAAATTTTGACTAGTTGTAGCCCTATGATTAAACCCCAAATTTAAGACACGTCCAACAATGCCCTTTGAAAAGTACTTTTTCTTTTACAAATTCCAATTTTTACGTCTTTATGCAAGGTCGGTCTTTCGTATGTATGTAGAAAATGAGGCTACTCTATGATTTTACAAAGAATTGTACATTAAATTTCATAATTTTTCTCAGAAAATTCATTGCAAATAAAGCCTTTGGCAACTGCCTGTCAAGTTTTTATAATTTGTGAAATTGTTTCAAAATTAAAAAAAAAACAAAAAAAAACGAAAGAGGCCATTTTCCATTACTGTTTTATTTCGCATGTCTTCACAGTTGAAATTCCAGTAAATGTACGAACCCCACTGTTTATTTTTTACCCAACCCCAGTACACCACCCTGAGTATCATAGTATATCATTGCGATATTTCCATCAGGACCCGTTTCACAAAATGTCTTGATTCCAAAATTTGGTCTAAACTTCGAACCAAATTTTTCTCCACTTCGTCCCAAAATGAATCAGTTATTTTTTAGTCCAAGTAAAGGAAATATCGTGCAGCATTTATAACATAAATAATTTTTCTAGTGTTTTAGACCAATGATTACTTTATTTTAAAGAACTATGCGCTTATTTTGAACTGAACTTGACCAAATTTTCTGGCTTAAGTTTGCTTGTGAAACTGGTCCCAACAATTGAATACTCAGGGTGCACTACTGAATATACATTAAACCTCGAGGGACTAAGAATCGTATGTACAATCTGGGGGACAAGTCATTTGACAATATACAAGAAAAACTTACTGAACTGTCTGTACATTTGTTCACAATTCATTATACAAGATTTCCCTTTACTCCCATACTTCTGTGTTATAATTCAAAAATAACTTTCAAGGTTTCCTCGTCTTTGTATAAATGCAGTTAATTAAAATAGACCTACTACAAGCATTATAACATTTCTTCAAATTAAGTTAGTACATTTATTCTCTCAAGGTATATCAATTTTAATGGTCACATCTAAGGGGAAGAGGTTTAGAGAATGACATCAATTTAAACTCGATTGCGCTCAAATTAAAAATGCAAATTGAAAATCTTAGGTCTGGTGCAATTTACAAAATAAATTAATAATAATAATAAAAAATTAAATACCATCCTCTGCAGAGATAAGGTATCTAAATGCATTTTTTTTGTCAAATTCATCAATGTGAACCCTGGTGACACATTAAAAATAAATAAATAAATAAATAAATAAATAAATAAATAAATAAATAATCTTTTCACAGGTTAACCAAAAGCGTTTAAGAATTTGGGGCTCTGGATACTCAAACTAAAAAATAAATAAATGAAAAAAAGGGCTTTATTTTACACCTCTGGATGAACCAAGTAATTAGTGTTTTGTAGGTAATAAACAGATAGGTCATCATGAACAGGGTTTCTACCGGTAAAATATACTATCACAACTCTCACTGTGCTGTGTCTGACATGCATGAATTAGGCATTACTTGTAGGTGTGGGCTAGAAAACCTGACATGGTAAAAAAAAAAAAACAAACAAACTTAAATCGAATGGGATGAGCTACTTGGGATTAGAAATAGGACAAATAGTGTGGAATCCTCAAAAAAAAAAAAAAAAAAAAAAAAAAAAAAAATTTATGTTTCCTTGTTCATACTCTATTTAAGGATTGCTATAAGTTAAATGTACCTGTTTTTGTACAAGGTTAGTGGTCCTACCTTCCCCACATAATACTATGTAAACCTTTATATGTGTGTCACTACATGGCAGAGAATATTATATCATTATTGACTTTTGCTAGAGATCTGCAAAACAACACACTGACCAAAAGCAAAAGTCAACAAGTGCTTTATTATACAAAGTAATACCTGAATGTCTGTGTCCTTCTAGATAACATGGCCATCATTTAACATTACTGTCTTAGTTTTAACAACATATTTTCTTTTCTGTGACTTGCCAAAAAGCCTGTGAAGGTATCATTGTTTCGTAAAGATGTCATCCATTGATATTATGTTTTATGAGTCCTCAAATGCCCTGTTAAAAGATCATAATCTATCACCCCATTTCCATAGATTAGATCGACCTACTTTAGATCGACCTAACTCCCTGGGGGTTCACGCTAAATAGCTGTCAGCCGAGCAGACACGAAAGTTAATTATCCCCTTACAGCTTGTAGTAGGCGGGACGGACATTTACATGTAAGTCGGATTATCTGAAAGTAATCTAGTGAGACTCCCCACGGGGATAGATCGATCTAAAATCTATGGGAATAGAGCCTGTGTCAATCTTAGAAAACCTGCACTAAAGAAGTGCTGCCAAAACTGAAGAAATGCGCAACAGGACATACATTGCTACACTACATCTCATGTCAAACCTTTCAATGAAACCAATGACATTTCTGTTTTTTTTAAATCAAAATTGTCTTTTTCACTGAATTATTAGTCCATGTATAATCAACTATCAACAATACTTCATAACCAATTTCATCATCTACTGTATGGAAATCCTCGATAACCACTATGAAGCTAGCAACAATGGAGAAACATCCAGTGACTATTGTAGCAAATGTTCTGTTCCCAGGGTTGCCACCAGTTTTATATTTATCACATAGTTTGTACAGCAATATCCTGAACTTCAGGGAACTAAGATTAACTTTTACCCCTGGACACTCTACTCTGTCAGTTCCTTAACAACTCTGAAACTCGGGCAAACCCTTACTTATGGAAATTTTCCAATACCTCAATTATAGTTCTAATATCTTAATTGTTCAAGATTTAATCTTCTCAGTCACTTATGAAAATGTTCTTTTGGCATGGAGCCAACCCGCACTCATCAAAACTTTTGAATCGCCATTTTCATTATTACTTTTAGGAACTATATTAATTAATTTTTTATTAATTTTTGAGAGTAATTTCCAAAATGCCCCCAGACAAAAATTGCACATTTACATATTTATATCAGCACCCAAAACCTCGTCGTAATGAACATAGAAAATCTTCACATTTAACAAGAATTTTTCTCCTGGTATCAGTTTCTCCACAGCAGACATTACCACATCCAATCAGAGACCATTTTGCACACCACTAGGGGGTGCTAGTAGTTCTTTAAATTCATGAAGTGACTCTTTCAAAGCTTTAGAGACATGGGGGGATCCAGAAGTAGTGCAGTCTACTAAGTGTGGGTACAGCTGTATCACCTGGCTCCAGATGCTGGGGTCAACTGAAAAATTAATATTAAAAAAACAAATAAAGTAACAAATGGAACAAAAATTGTATTGTGGAAGATATATCTGACATGTCTTTAGCTTACAAAATCTGTCTTGTTGTGCAACAGTGCATTTTAGTCATGAAGATTACAGAACAAAGGGGAATGTCTCTCTGGTTATTAAAGACTGTCAGTCAAGAAAGCTGACTCCACCACTTTTGGCATTAATTCTCTCTAGGTATTGAAAAACTGTCAGTCAAGAAGGTTGTCAACTGTCAGTCAAGAAGCTGAGAAGTATAGGTAAAATCTCCACATGTGTAATTTTCTGCATTTTGAAATCATAACCGTACTTACTGTTTGCTTGTGGTGCTTTCTTGAGTGAAGACAAAAGAGTTGCCACAGCTTTCAACACAGAACACATCTCTGCCATCCGGGGTCTGAAACAGAAAATATATTTTTTTGCCATGAAAAATTAATAATACGAAAGTGTTCACTCTTATAGTGCTATATTTTATTTTCTAAATATGGGTGTCTACATGGTAGATGTTAACTAGGGGAGCTACTTCTTGTTCAGGTAGGTTCAATAAATGATGGATCTAAAAATCTTAGGTACAGTATAAGGGGCACTCCCTGGGCAGGAATTGGGACAACCCAACATTGCCAGTATCTTTGCCAACAATCAAATTGAACATATTCTAAGAATGCCCTAAGTTCTTAAAGTGTTATTCTCTTCCTTATGTTTATTACCATGTCAAACCAACGATCTACAAGATTTGAAAACTGCAGTGTTGGCAAATGCAACCCTCATCGAGGCACAGCTTAAATGGTCAATCAAACCTGCTTAAGCAATAGCGCCACTTCATTAGGCATTTCAGCCTTACTTTGTCCTTGGTATTTAAGATGTACTTGCAGTCCCCCTGTGGCAGCTTGACTTAGCAACAGCAAACAAAGTGACGATTATTTTTTTAAATGCGCAGAAAACCAAATATTCATTTTGGTGTCACGCCAAGCTGTTGCATGGTAAGAAACTGTGAACACATTGCTGTGAAGCCACACCAAGCCTTCAAAACTGAACCATAGGGGGCACTAGTTGTCAGCTTGGTAAATACCTTGGCAGAGGACATTTTCCACTCAGCCTCTCGTCTTCCACAAACTTCTTAATGACGCCCTGGCATCGCTGTAACATGGAAGAAACGGCAAGGTCCGTTATCGTTCCCTCGCCAGTGCTGTATGCATTTGTGATGAAGGAGAACTGGAGTAAAGTCTCGAAGCACGCTTTGGCAAACTCTTCACGTAACTTACGACTAGAGTCTGTATCTGAAGGGAGAAAAATACAGGGAATGCTGGGAAATACTGAACAGAACTGACAATATGATCAGTTCTACAAGAACTTGGGCCTTCAGCTAGTTTTACACACACAGACATACATACACACACAAACACACACACAGTTCAGAGCAGTTTCGTAACTGCGTTTTTGGTCTTAAAACATGAAACATGAAGTAATGTTTTGCTTCAATTAAAAAAAATTAATTAGTGGAATTATTAATTCATTACAAAGCTGTGAAAGATTTTAACTTGAAGAGGATCTGGACAAAAACTTTGTCAATTGGTTCAAATTATCATGTTTAAGTGAATCCCACCCACCAGGCATGCTGAAGACTTTTAAAACAGTCAGACCAGCAATTATGAAAAATTTCTTGGACAGAAGGACCTTTTACTGTAAGTTCAAAATGGCCACCCCATAATACTGTTACTGGTCCTGTGGACTGACTGAACACAATATTCTACCAGTCCTTCAAAAATTTCTCGTTCAAGTCCCTAAGGTACATGTAGGAACAACAGTTCCAGCCTGTGTGAAACCCAGTTAATTTCAGTACCTATGAAAGCATCAGTTGTGGCTGCATGTATGGAGCCCTGGTTTAGTATGTGCATGATCTTGATGACAAATTCCTTGGGCATGCCAGCGCCATAGGGCAGGATCTCATCCCGGATTACCTGAACAACCTGGAGCAATTGTGCACAGATTTAAATAGATCTATATACTAGACAGCAAAGCTGGCAAATACAAAGGCACCAAATATGGAAAAAAAGAGCACTACAACGATGATTACTTAAAAAATGTAAGGATACCAAATAAGTAGAAAATACATAATTTAAAAATACAGATAACTTAAAAAAGCAACCAGTATCTTTATTTAAAATGTATGGAAGTTGGTTGATATATCTATAACGAAAATGCCAGCACAATGTGGCAGAATCTCATCCCAGATCACATAATTGTGTTAGGTGAGACTGAAACACATTCTGTACATTCTGGTGGATATGTGTTCAAGGAAACCATCTTTTTTAGGGTAAATTTAATTGGTCTGGCCTAGAAAATAGACTTGAGCCCAGTGAGCGAGTCATTTAAAAATGTACATTTAAATGGATTAAATTTACCTTTTGCACTTGATGAATTGATGAATACAAAAGAAAAACATGTTGGTGTTATTTTTGTGAAAAAAATCCCATTTTAGCTGTCCTTTTGTAATATATCAATATACATCAGTTCATCATAATCTACAGCATTGTGTATCCAGCTTATTCTCTTAATCTCAATTTTGACTTGTGTCCACAAGCAAGAGAACAGGTGGGAGAGCATGTACCACTTACCCTACAATCAATTGCCTCATCTCTCTGATAGTCTTCCACTGATGCTGTGGAAGGGGTAGGGCTGAAGAAGAGCAAACAGTGAGAGTGAATCAAAAGTGAGAAACTTGTTCAGAAATTAAAAATAAAATTGAAAAAATAAGTGAATGAATTAACAAAACAGTATATAGATCAACTATCTTGGTTGTTATCTTTGGAGCAGTGGGGCCTGTTATTCCGTGCTTGTCACATATAAATCAATCAAAAAATCTGGTGCAACCTGTTAATTTTCCAGCTGTCACAAATAAAAGTAAACACAAATCTTAAGACAACCAGATGAAATAAGTTGTAATTGTCTAAAACCAGCCTAACAAGAAGACTTTCCTAAGTTTTCAACTTACTGTTTGGAGAACAGGAATTCTTCCAGTGTGTGAGCCAACTCTGACCACACACCCTCGTAAGCCACATCTGAAGAAAAGCAAATAAATAAATAAATAAATAAACCTTCATATCTGCCACATTTTTCATCATATTTAAATTACAACATCCAGTTTACTATAAAGTTAGTGCCACTTGGCTATAATAATCAAGAGCAATATGCAATCAGTTTTATACAGTTTATCTTAAATCAAATCTATGTTGAAATATTTGCTTTTTCAAATGTTTAATTTTTAATCAAATAGCTACCGGTATCTGAAAATGCAACATTACTAATTCACACATATTTTGTAAATCATAAGAAATGAAAATATATGAATTGAACATCTCATAGAAATAAAGTATTAAGCAATAACAAAGACACTGTCTTCCTGGGGCAGACGTCTGAATATTGTGACACAATGAAATATAGGCAGAGTAATAACTTGGAATTTAGCTGCTGTTTCAGCAAACTATTATTATCCTATTATATTTACAGTTAGCCTGTTCTTTTACATGTAGATGTACTTCAAGGACATGCAACATCCTCTTTAAATAATGGTATGATCACCCAAGAATGGCATTTTTATGCAAACTATAAATGCAAGGAATGCAAATGACTGTATTGTTGGTGAACATGTAGATTATTTCTGACTTTGGAAATCAATAGTGACGGAGAAAGTACAGTAAAACTAAGCAACGGAAACTTGAATATTTGTTAATAGTTTATTCTCTTGACAAAATCATGTAAATGGTTTCTTTAAAGGTATAGGGCACTTGTTTTACCAAGATAAAGATAGTTTAAAGGTTAATTAGCACTATATTATCCACTTACATCTCTGTAAAAAACTTTCATTCACAAGTGGATGGAAAAGGCAAAGATATTTAAAGAAATTATTTTAATATACAAACAAAAAATCTTAAGGGGGGGGGGGTGTTCACATTAATTAATTTCATTTCACTAACCTTTCAGTTTATCTGCCTTAACACTGGATGAACTATATCTTTCACTGTATATGAACGATAAAATTAATCCTGCACTAACTTTTCTGGATAGTTAAAATAACACCTGACTATCACAACTGTTATCAAAATCTGTTCAAATTTGCTGACTCACCATGCTTCCTGGCCACAGGCAGACCCACTATGAGCACCGAGATGAGAGAATTGATGGCCAGGACCCATGTCGTGGGTGAGGGGCAGCCATATTTGGCACTCAAGGGAACACGCAATGTCTGAAATCATAAAGAGAGTGTTACTTGTAAATGAGAGAAAAAATCACTGCCATGTACCTTAAGAGAGTTCTTTAAGGAAATACGGAGAAAGCATGCACTTATTGATTCTGTTATAAATACTGTATGTCACCATCAGTTTGTTTTTTAGTCCACTTAGATGATATACATCATGATTTAAAATGAAATCAATTCTAAAAAGGTCTGACAAGTTGTTGAGCCTGAAAGACAAGGTTTTGATCATTTTTCAAATAATATTAAATATATGATGGACTCATCAATGTGAATTCTCTATCATACAGGCAGACTTTCAGTTACATTTTCTGCCTACAGATGGCAGCACCTTTCAGTCCATAAAACTGACTGAAAATATGGTGCTCATTCCCCAGTTTCTGGGGATAAAATTCACCAAAGAACTTGAGCCCAATTACTGGTCTTACTCCCTTAGGCTAATTTTTTTGTACAATTCAGTATAAGATAATTCCATAGTTGTCCATGTAAGTAAAGTAATGGTCTGAAACTTAAGCCATGTTTTCCTTAATTCTTATGAAGCAGACAAAAAATTCATTTAATTTGGAGTAATACTGATTTTTCTTGGGTCAAAAGATAAAAAATTTTGGTGTTAAAGTTCAGACCAAAACCCAGGTTAAATTGATTTTGTGGCATAGGTCCCAATGCGTACAAACATTCTGTACGAGTAACCATAGAAACAGGAGCAGACGACATTGCACAATTCTGTCCAATAACAAGCAGTCAATGTAATACCCCTGTATTATTTTGTAACATTACTTAAAGCTTGTCTAAGTAACTGTTGATGATATCCGATTGTGGGTAAATCTGTCTGGGTTTGGATAATATTACTCAACTTCAGCTCAACATGCCGCCTGTTTGTTTTCCTTATGTTATACAACTTTAAGACACCGTTTTCCTTCAATGTCAGTTAGGCACAGATGTATATTTTAGATACCTGGTAACTTTTATTGCTAGATTCTTTGTTTCATTTATAAGAATTTTATATAATCTTATCTACAATTTTCTACAATTCTCTTGCTGTTCAAATAGTGACATATATTTCACTGTATAGTTGGTAGCAAGTTTGGTAGCAAGAAATGAATATTATAAGTATAATATAATTACATAATGGAATAATTAAAAGTCAATAACCAAAGGCAAATAAAAAAGTGAACATATTTTGAATTTTTGAATATGCAAAAATTCTTTTTTTTTTCTTTCTCTTAAATTAAGTTTACAAAAACATAATGCCCAAAGTTTGATAAAGTGGTTTTACTCTTCGCAAGTTCCTTTGCTTCATGGGGTCAAAGAATAGATAAAAAATTAATAGATTAAAATAAATAAATAAATGAATAAATAAATAGCCAATGTGTGCAGAAGTCTCTCCTAATTGTGTACCATATTATTTTAGGTATTCCACTTCACCTTCAGTTGATTTGAAAGAAACAAAATCAGTGTTTTGAAATACTGCAGACAAACAAATATTTCCCTCTCATTCAAACAAACATGTTGTTTTCTAAAATATTTTGACTGATTTATTTAAGCACTACTGACTTCAACACAACAATTAAATTAAATTGTTGAGCACTGTATGATATAAGATATTTTTTCCTAAGTAAAAGAAATTTTTTTTCACATCCCAAGTAGATTTAATTTGTTTACTTCTGTTCTGGAAAATCTTCAATGCCTGTTACTGGTGCTAATATTTTGCCCATGAAAAAAAAAAAGAGCTGGCAAACATACAATGACATCAGATCCAGAATATATTGTGGTCTCACAGATAATGAAACAAGAACAGTATACCCCTTTTTCCTTCAGAAAATTCTTGACTGATTTGCCTAGTTATCAAATGAGGTAGAATTAGGACCACAGACAAGCACGAAAAACAGGTTAATTGCATAATTAGTGGCAGTCCTTTGCCTATCATTTGTTAGCTGAAAATAACATTTCAATTAGATAAAGAAACTGAGATGTGCTTTACACAAATACAAAGATGAAATCTTTTTTAGCCGCTTTAAAAAAAAAGAATTATTGCTGCAAAGCATGCTTTAAAATTTAGAAAGTACTTTCATTATAAGATGAGATTTAATTTTCTTGCTTTTCGAGTAGTCAATATGGCTTCATTGTGCATATTGGAATTCTGTAAACAAAATATTTAAAAATTTTATTCATATTTATTTCATTTAAATTTTAAACATTATTACTGAGTTAAACTTAGCATCTAAAAAATGTTCATGCTAAAGAATGGGGTATTAAAAAGATCACCATTTATTGCTTAAATTTGTTCTGGAAAATCAGCAAAAATAACAAAATTGAAAAGCAAAATTCATCCTTATTCTAATGATTTATACATCTTTTGTGCAAATAATATGTAAGTAACACATGCATGGTATTAATGCTTAAAGTAAAATACTCATTTCTCACTCTTTACCATCACCATTTAGTATTTCACACTGTGGTCCAAACAAACAGTAATTTATTTGCATTATAAATGAGTAAGACACCTGCTACACATGAAGTTAACTTCCCCTAATTTCCCCTTTATTTCCCCTAATTTTCCCCCTATCAGTAGAATTTTCACAATCATTCATATTTTTCAGAAATATCTTAAAATAACAACGACAAAATAAACACAAATGACGGTTCACTTTTCAAAAGGAAAATTCTCCCAATATAAGCCATTAGATGATGAACTGCAGCATAGAGAATCCAGTAATGGCCAGTACAGTGCCTTTGGTGGACAGTGTCCACTCCTCCTGACCACTGCCACGGCAGCTGTTAGCTCCAATTTTAATGTCCACTCTACCCATTAGTATACTGGTCAAAGAACAGGTGCTCCTGACCAGTAATTACTGTTTATGAATATTTATAGAGCAGTGAACAATATAGTGCAGTTACTGATGACTACTAGTGTGTCAAATTGGGTCATTTTGAAAAATGAGAATAAATTACTTACAAAATATATTTAATAATAATAATAATAATAATAATAATAATAATAATAATAATAAATGTTTTAACATGCTTAAGATGCCATTAACATTTTCATATTTTCATCAAATATTTATCAAATTATATTATTTAATACTGTTTACTTGGAAGCAGACTACCAATGAACGAAAAAATCCTGTTTTTGACACCTCTACTGTTAAGTTTCTTAGTTAATCTTTTTTTAAAAATCTAGTTTTTCATTTAATCTTTTTTGAATCAAAGTTTTAAGCCCATCAAATTTCAAACACAAAACTTTTATTCCACATTTTTCTCTTTTATGATCTAAATTTTCTTGCTCACAAATTGATCATCAAACTTGATGTAGTTTAGCTTAAATGAAATTTAATCCTTCTTATTTTTAAAATTGCTTTTTTTCTATGGCAAGGTTTTCACGATAATTTTGATTTTGACACCATATTTAATAATTAAGTTTTCAAAAATGAATTTTCAAAATTAATTTGCATTTGTGTTAGGTAGCTAATTTGTTACAAATAGAAAAATCGCCTTGATCAAACATATTTATTACTATTTTCAATATTAAATGAAGAACAGAAGGATAACAATAATTTTCTAATTTCTTACATCAAAATTAAGGAGAATTTATGTAAAAAAGATACAAAAAAGCAAGTTAAACTTGTGCAGCAATGTTCAAGTACTGAAGCTTACATTGTTGAGATAAATTAAATAAACTGTAGCATCTATACATGATTCACTGCTACTACACTTTACACTTCTGTTCTGGAAAACACCATCCAGGTATCTGCACCTTCTCTCTGTTTCTTGGTCAAATGCACCAGGAATTTATCAAACATATCTCACCTCCAAAACCCTAAAACAACCCTGTCAATTCCAAATTTCATACCCTGATCAAACAACATTCAGTCACAAATAAACACTTACTATTTTCACTTCAACATAAAGATAACAAAAGCAATAGGCCACAAACATTGCATAAATAATTATTCGGGTAAATAACTAGAGGATTTTATCTTAAAATAAATGGCTGTGAATATTTGAAAACTTCCAGTTACTGCCCTTGCATGTTTCTATGTTCTTCACAGTCGGTTCCTTTCTATGTCCTGAACTGGGTAGCCGCAGTTTCTATTATTCTCCGTTATGCAGTTTCACATTAAATAAACTTTGATCTAGCCAACGACGGTGAGATATTACATAACGCCCTCTATTGACAGAGAACGGCCCATTCATGCAAGGCATAGCACAGTCAGTACCTTTAAGAACTCGCAAAGAAAACTCTTTTGACTTCCAGCGTGGCGTTACGTCACCTGGAGTATCAATTATAGAGGGCCCCCTGCGTCCATTGATTGGATGGACTACTGTGAGGTATGCAGCCTCTGTTTGAGTTTGTGCACTGAATTTGGGTGCGCTAATATGGAACTATACAAGTGGAGGAATAAATAGAAAACTACTACTTAAGTGACTTTTGCCAGGGATTAAAGATATACAGGTAAGTGCTGGTAATTTCTGTTATTAATTTTTTATTATAAATGTATTCATTTTGACATTCAATTTATGCGCTATTTTTGATTAAATTTCTTTGGTACTTTCAGCTAAAATTTTAGCCAAAATTGTGCAACTTTCAAATGTCAACACTCTCATTTGAAATGTAATAATATTAGCTATTTATCTGAATAGCCGGTATAACATAATTTTAGCACTATCCTAAATGAAAAAATAAATTTTATTATTGCAAAATATGTCAATTTTTACAAAAATAGAAAAAAGTTCTGTCAATAAATCCATTTTTACTCAAATCAACTTATGGAAAAAAAAAAAAGAGTTAAGGAGAAAAAAAATCTATGCAATTATTTCCTACAAAAGATGATTACATAATTCAGCAGACAAGATCCATCGCAGAAAAAGCTATGTATAAACCAAACAAAAATTCATTCCATCATACTGACCCAATTCATTTTCTTCACATACACTGTTCCTGTAGAATATGTGTGGACATCTAACAACAAATTCCCAAGGCAACATAC